ATAAAGAAAGAAAACATCTTGCAAGTAGAAAGGAACTTATTTCAACATTATATCAGTTTCATCTCATGAGTGATGATCACTGTCGGTGTGCTGGTGACTACTTGTGCAATTTGGCAGTATGTTTGTTTTCCTGGCCGAAAAGTATCGTGAACAAGTTCAAAACTATATGAAACGACTGGCATTAACGAGCCAGTTGGAAATTTTAATGAAAGAAATAAATTGTGCCAATGACTTCCACATCATTTTGAACCACAGGAAAACCGTCGAATTGACATGATTTGTTATGGTGATCCACATGGTCACTCAGCAATGGCACGTACTGTTGGGCTTCCTGTGGCGATTGCTACAAAGATGGTACTGGATGGTAAGTAATGAAATACATAGAATATTAATAGAGAACCCGAAGATGTGGATTTTATATTCGAGTTAGAGTGAAAAGGGTACTGAAATTATATCTGATCATTTTTTACCCTAACCATTCTATAGCGACGTTGTCCAACAAGTTTTGACGAACCTATCTGAAGTTCTGGACTAAAAGAAACGAACGACTCTAGGAACGAAATTTGAAACAGTGGCAGAGCAAATCCCTTGTCTAGAGTCTTTCCTCGCCAGTTTGACGAAACTATATCTCGGTTATTTCCCGTCTTGTTGTTCTGACACTCTCTGTTGTATCATTGCAGGGGACTTGAAAGCCAAAGGTGTTGTTCGACCTCTTAGCCGCGAAATTTACAAGCCATTGCTCACCCGACTCAAAGCGGAAGGAATAGACAGTGAAATGACGACAACGGTTCTGTGAGACGAAAATCCAAGAAGTAGAAAAAACGGAAGCAAACTACTGGGTCGCCTAAAGAGACCCCAGTTTTTGTGTTCTAAGGATTTTTTTTTCTGTTTAATTCAAGTGTGAAAGTTTAGATGGAAGGGTTTTGTAGTGGAATACTGTAGGCAGCCTGCCAGAATTTTGGCCCGGATTTGGTTCATATGGAGTGAACCTTAAACATACCGCTTAGTCGTTGACAAGGAAATCTGGATAAAAGCAGAGAGAACGAGGTTCACGGGAACTGGGTACGAGGTTGATCGCCCGTGAATTTCATGGTGATATTCTAAGAAGAAATTAGCTAATGGTCACTTTCGGGGATGAAAGTGTCTTGAATTGTTATAGTAGCGAGGAAGCACTCTTTTGGATAAACTATTTACAAGGTTTTGAGCAGTTATTACGTGATGTTTATTTTTAGAGTCACGCAAGATTCATCGAACCAAAATATTCTTTATACTTATTTATTGGTTTAATTGTACCGCATATACCTATGTGGTAACTTCTAAGACTTCGAAAGTCATCTTAACGTAAATGTCTGGTAGTAAAGGACTGTAAGATAGATATTTTCTTCAGTGATGTAAGTATAAGACAAATCTGTTACTACTGCTGAAAGTCTGATTATTTTTTATACACAAATGGCTTTTTTATATATTTAAAGCTATTTAAATTTCAAACGAGGCCCCGAAAGAGGCTCTCTTGAAATAGTACTTCACTAACTGCTTTGCCGATGTTTGGCAAATCGTTGCAGAAAGGCCCGGAGGAGCTTTCGATTCTTCTTATTCGATCAAATCGTAGTTACTCTAAAGTATTATTTACTTCGGTGAAGCGCCAGTTGAGATTTCATGTTGCTTAGTAACCTCTGACAAAAGCTCAACTTTCGACTGGAGGAAAAGGTATTGAACGTAATCTGACAAGAGAAAAACTCTCTTGAATTTTAACGATATATGCTTGGGGTGTTGGATGTATTGAATTATTTAATCGATAACGTGTAAATCTATTTGCATTTTAAAAGTAGCTTTGCTGTACATGTCCTGCTGTTGGAAATAATCACGGTAATGGAGTTTAAGTCCAAATGTAATTGACCTGTCTCTAATTGTAGCTTTTTCAGAGTTCCTCAATTAATAAATTATTTACAATATTATGAGTTTCAAACTGCAGTGATCGCAGAGCGTGTTAACATAACAAGTACGATTTGTACTATTTTTAGAGGATCAGGACTGGGTGCTGGATTCTTAGCTTTCAGCTGAATTTTCGACAATTACTCATCTGACGGTAGGAAAATTTCAGCCCTTTTTCTCGGTTAACGGTAAATTTGTAGGCACCAGATCACAAACCCGCCATTTTCCAAACGTGACTTTGATCAATTCTCATCTATCTCAGTTAACGTCATCTTGCCCTCTTGATGGCGCCATTTTCACTCCTGCTCCACACCGATTTTATGGAAATATGGTCTCTAACCGAGTTTGCTTCCGAATTCGCCGGATGCATGTGGACGGAAGCCGTATCCGGAAAGAAAAAGTTACAGATTCAAAAATATCCGGATACTTGTGGACGAGGCCTTAGTTGGCAACTCATACTAAAGTATAACAAGACAAAATTACACATATCATTTTAATCTGTTTCATTCTTGAGTTTGCTCATAGGGAACTTTGAGTTGAGAGGTGGTTTCTTTCTCGCTATATATTTTTGGCCCGCGGTAATCGTGCTTTGAAGACAGGTGGCCCCAGTTTTGTTTTTTGGCCAGCCATTGCTTGAACATTATAATATTTATAGTATAAAATGCACAATAGTATCGAGGTTGAAACGTTGCTGTATCTATTTGTAGTACGTTTGGTTTGTCAAACAGTGGTGTAAATTTGACCAATAGGCCCTTTGCAGCTGGGGTCACGTGACCACATTTTTTCTTAAAAAATTTCTATTATGGGCTATAACTTAAAGAATGCCAGAAATGGAAAGACCATACTGAAAATACCAAAATGGCCAAGTTTGAGGCCCCCGTCTATAAAGAATGAGATTTTACGACGCGGTCTGAATTTTTAAAAAATAAGAAGATTTGTATGGAAAAAGTTGCTGGAGAGCAAGGTCTTGCTCTCCAGCAACAACTTCCATACAAATCCTCTAAATTTTCTGAAAATTCAAACTGTCGTATAAACTTACTCTTTAATGCAAGGGACCTCAAACTTGGCCATTCTAGTATTTTTAATATGCTCTTTCCATTTCTGTCATTCTTTAAGTTATAGCCCATAATAAAAATTTTTAAAAGAAAAAATGTGGTCACGTGACGCCAGCTGCAAAGAGCCTATCAGTGACGGAAGAGGTTCTTGTTGACGTCACAACAGAGTTCGCGCCCTTTTTTCACGGCTACCACCACGACTTTCACTGGCTTTCCAGCGATAAAATTTTGACACAAAAACGAGCCAAATTGACTTCAGTTAACAAGTGTTTAGCAAAGGTGTGTTATAAAATGTCTCTTTGGCGAGTAAATCAAAGAAAATACGCTGGAAACAAAGGGAGAGCCAAAACAATGAAAGAAAATTGGATGAATTTGGCTACCGACCATCCTGACAGGAACTTCAGCCGTGGTTGCAACAAAACTCAGGCTTTCACGAGGACGATCGTAAGTGAACTTTACTTACAGAATTTTTAGACTTTTTAGGCGCTTCTAAGACAGCTTATCGTTCCAAAATTTCTTGGTTTTCGTAGTTTGTGACATGTTGCTCAATGTTTCAGCCAGAGTTAATTAGTATCTCTATAAAAACGGAAGTTTTGCGAAGTTTCTTTGGGCGGGATGCTGCGCAATTTGTTCAAAAATTTGGACACCAGCATTTTTCATATTATTGTCATTAATATAGCATTGTTGACGCTTGGAATTTAAATTTTTCAGCGAGTACAGTACGGTTTCTGTGGAAGCCCAGATAAAGGTGTAATTCTTTGTGCAATTATTGCTCCATTTATTTCGTGTGTCGGGTAAAATTGTTGGCAATTTTCGGAAACGATGTGGAAACGTTATTATTCAACTCGCGCGAATCAACGTTTGATACAACTTCTGTCACGTTTCGCGAAGTTGTAAAACGTTGTCCGATTCGTACTTGTTCAACGAGGTCAAGTTCGCAAAGATGATTGTTTTCTGATCCCCCTGGATTCTAAATTGAAGCTGAAGAGTTGTTCAATAGGATGAAGTGTGTCTCTGTTCCGTTCGATGCTTTTGACCGGACAACAGTCATTCAACATTTGATTTGATATTATACACCGTTTCGAATTCTTTACATAGTTATTGATCAGGTTCTTCGGGTATGATATCCGGGCCAGGTTTTCTTGAGCTCATCACTCTAGTCAGGTCCAAATCATCCAGGATTAACTATTGTTACCGGTAATTATTCCCCCCTGTAAAGAGTTTTTAAATTGCCAATTTAACTGAATTTAAAATCTTGATTGGAATGCTGCTTTAAATAATCGGATGGGCTCAGAGCTGGTAATCGAGCCTATTCCGTTTTAAGAGGTGCCTTTTAGGGGTGAAATATAGCTTGAGCCACACCCAGATTTCTCTCTTAAAGGGGTTTCATTCAAATTTTCCGTCGAGCATCCCCGACCTTTTCATATGGGAGCCCCCCTCCCCCACCCCCTCGGGGCCGTAAACCTTCTTTGGTCTTTCTATTCTCAGGTTGTTTTGCCGTCTTCGAAGGTTTCAAATGTTGTATTGGTTAATAGTTTCTGTCGTCGGAAGTTTAAGTCTCTAAGAGCCAATGATTCAACTTACATCTCTATCAACCGTTTACATTCAAGGCTAGCCAGTGTATAGCAGTCATTTCATTTCTTAAACCACAGCGCGAGAGAGGTGTTTCTTGGCCGTGTGCCTGCTTGGTTAAGCGTCTACTGCGTAGGAGAAACCGCTACATATACTGCATCGTTTTCCCTTAAGAAATGCTGGAGGGATTCGTCGTGGGTTCCCGCCTCGGATGATGGTAAAAACTAACATGTGCACCCACGGTAGTAGCGCGGAAGACTTCGTGACAACGCTTGATGTTCAGAATGTTCTTACAATATTGAACAATAGACAATTTGTTGCTCGACAGTTCAGTTGCAACTGACAAATTTTTAATCGTGAGTGGTAGGCTTATCGAAGGATCCCTGCATTTTATGGAGACTTGTGCCTGTCTCTTTCAAAGCATTCCATTCTAACTAGGTAAGTTTATTTCAAGGCAGACAATTGGTTCAGGTTGTATTATACCGGTGGTAGTTTTCTATGGCCATGTAAAGAGTTTCTAGATTGCTAATTTAATCCCAGTTCCGAAAGCCGGATTAGAATCGTGTTTTAGTCAATCTGATTGGCTCAGAGCTCCACGCCCCGTGAATCTCGCTGGGTTTTTACCTTGTACTTTGGTATTTCTACATTTCTCAGATTTCCCGCATATACTTAATCTAAAACGACAGACGATTTCTAGCTATTTCTGGCTCTAATCCCCGAGAGGAGACGTCTTACATTTCCGACAAGCATATGACTGTAAATCAACAAAAGCTCCCTTGGATATTCAGTTCCAGCTGATGCAGTTTTGGTTATAGTCTGTTTCGTTGATATTTTAGTAAAACTCTGAGAGCCAGTGATGCCCTGTGTTTTCGAGTAGCTATTTGCATTCAACGCCAGCTTACGTAAGAGTCCTTTCATCTTCAATAGCGCGAGGACTGATTTCAAAACCATCGCTTACTAATAAATCTCAATTAAAACTCTTAACGCTATTCCTCAGCTATTGCAATCTATCAATATCAAAAACACGGGGCGTGCTTGTGCGCTTTCTCGAGCCAGAGGTTCATCTTAAAAGCGCTTGCGGATAATATTAATCATATTGTCTAAGAAAATCTAAGAAGTAAAGAGTAAGTTAACTCTCCATTTCAGCTTGCTTTTCATGTCCATTGTCTAAGCGTACTACCGATACCATACTTCCCTGTAGAGGCGTCAGAAGGAAGTTTCAAAGGGTGCTTTACATTTTATCTCTCCAATCTTCCCACGCTTATTGTGCGCACTCAGGTTAAGCAAACACTAAAAACCTCTGCTCTAGGGAAATGAGAGGCACGTAAACTACTAACAGCTAAATTTATCGTTTTGCCTCAAAATAACGCCCTCTCAGTGATACCAACAATGAATGTCATTCGTGCCTGTTATAAGCTCGTTTAATGGCGTTAAAACTAACATGACTTGTGTACGTACGGTTGTTGTGATGAAACTTCTTTGAATATAAGCAGTTTCTGCCTTGCTGACAGTAGTTTTCACATACTTGGAGCCATTTCAAACTTAAAACTTCGTTCACAGCGAGTCTTTAATCCGCCTAAGTTTGATGTTCCTGCAATGGAACAATCGACATAAAGAATAAGCATGCAACAAGATGTCATGTGACCTTATCATTGGAAAGGATATTTGTGGGATCTCGAAAGATGCAAAAAAGTAAAGAAGAGGAAAATAGAGGGTCGGAATTATAGGAACGCAGTGGCAATGCAGCTAAGGTCGTAATAATTTGATTAACTTTTCGCCGTTTTAATATTATTTTTTCCGATTTTCTTTATTTTAATTTCCTTAGTGGAAGCCATTGAAAACCGTTTGATTGACAAGGTCATTGCAACAACAGCTGCAAATGACCAATCATTCCTAAAAGAGTCTTTTCTCGCACGCTTTAGCTTTTTTCTACTCTAAACTACAACCCTTATTTTGCAAAGATTTCTTTTTGATTTTCTGGTTCAGGCGCGAAATTTTACTGAAATCTCACTGCAGGGATTCCACGTGGTGTTTGTTGTGCGTTCCGCGGGTGTGTTTGCAAACATGGCGGATACTTGAACAGTATGTTCTCAGCAGGGGTTAAATTAACTTTGTCTTTTAATTTTTAATTTTAATTATTTTTGTTTCTAAATCAACTTCGTGAAGCAATAATTGCTTTACATCAATTTTTTTACAATCGTAACACATACTCTAGAGTTTAAAAGTCATATTCAATGTTACTTCTTGATATAACACCCACAAAATCTTTATATAATGTTAACAATAGAGAACAAAGGTGAGGACAAAAGGCGCGTCTTTTAAGGGAGCGTCCGTGGGAACCAGACTTAGTTGCCCTCGAGCGTCTAGACCTTTCACAATCAGTTGAGCCTGCCTTAACAGTTTGGTGGTCGTATAACGCAAGAAGAACAGCTTTTTTACATGATCGAGGAAAAGTTTTCCAGATTATTCTTGTGTTTCATTTTCCTGTGTTTCTTTCTCAATTTGCAAATATTGTCACTTGTTAACTAGCTTTCTAACGCTGCTTTACTGTTCCCTTATGCCTTAGAAATTTTGCTTTCGTTTTATTTTTCCTTTGCCTGCTTTCATTCTGCATTTTCCTAGTTTTATTTCCCGGCCGTCCGACACAATCTAGCTGCACACTTGTCCAGTGACATTTTTAAAGCTGGTTCATCATTTGCAACAAGCCGTTTTACAACTTCAAGGCCAAGCGGCCTATCGGTGTTTTCTAAACATGCCAAGTTAATTACCTTGTTCCAGCTGGATTCTCTTATTAACAAGCATGGCCAAAGGCACATGTTGGTAGCTTTTATGAGCTACCCGGCCCGCTCATTCAGCCATTCATTCATAATCCTTAAACCAGACATAAACAAAAAAAATCCAATCAGTTATTGCAAAATTTAATAACTTGAAGACGAATTTGAAATAGCTTTATTGCAAATAAACCACGGTCGTATTGCAAGACTCAATTTGAATTTTTTAATAGTGGTTTTGGCAAGAATATCTATACCCTGGTTGAAAAGTGTACTGATTATTACAAAAAACCCTCCGATGCCCTACGGGATTTTATCAACAAATGATATCAGTAAGATAATTTAATATTTGTTCTATCCATTTAAACTAGCAATCAATCATTCAAATAAAACTTCTTCACTCCACTTATTAAAAGATTACGTAAAGACTCCAGTACTGTTTACCATGTATGATATATTTTGACTTTTCTGGTGTTGTCCTTAAACATGTCCTTGATGATAAAGATTTAGCGACTGTTAAACAAAGCAGTTATGTCGAATCAACTTCTTTTCTGTGCGCGATTTATCAAAGTGATATCATCAAGAATTAGTGTTTTATTGTTTTAAGACCATCTAAGGTCTGTTTGTCTCCTATTGGTTGTTTGCGGAAAATATAATATGCCAAGATCACTTGTTTGACGTTAACGTATTGCAAAGTTTCATTTAAAACGAAGTAAGAGCACAGTTGAAAGTATAATTATCTTGTTGAAAATGGAAAGGTAAGAAATACCGTGGGAAAAGTTACTGTTTAATAAACAAAATTAAAGCTTCTCCGCTCCACCGAAATCAGACGAAAAACAACCATGGATGTTTTGAAAATAAAAAACCTGAACGCCCTTGGCATTGGGTTTTTCAGTAGCCATATTGCGAGCAGGTTCGACGTTCGCGGTCTTATCCATTACCAATACTAGTAGACTACTTTTAAACAACTTAAACGGCGTCATTTACGACAATGTTTACTCATTGGGTATGCTTAACACTCATTTATCATACCTCATGCTCATAGATCATTTCAAAACCGTACAATAGCAGCACAGGAGGTCTCTTAGTGATAGGATAAACATGTAAACGGCGTTTTGGTCTGGTGTGGCAAGAGTTAATAGTGCATTTCTTTTTGGCAAATAAGATAACTACAAACTTAAGGCTTCAAAGTCAGTGCCTCGCTAGATGTGTAAAATAAATGGTGTTAGTACTTTGACTAAGGAATCAGGTTTACATCCAGCAGTGCCAGATATGGTCTACTTAAGTGTCCACAAAAACGCTACACACAAAATGCGCCAAGCGTTAAAATGACTTCACTACATACCCCCTGGGATTTGTCTCTGTACCATTCTTTGCTTGTTTCGAGAGTGTTTCAAAGTCACGTCTTGATACTAATCTTCTTGCGCAATCTTGTCATGTTTCGAAAATATTTGCATAAGAGAATCGCTCGCCTAAGGGTTTTTACGATAACAAGTCAATTAGCTTCGCCGTATCTTATTCAGCATCTCTTAGATCTTGTATCTGTTGATAAGATGGGACAATTATGAATCTCTAGACAATGTGTCACGCTTTTATTCAAATGTGGAGTTTATTTAACGAACGTATTGCAACACTGCCCACGTTTTGTCACTTCTAATCTGGGCTGGACGCACACAGAAAGGTCTGGGAAAAAATCATGAAAAACAGGTTCCAAGGTCATCAAATGGGATGCGGTTGACGAGTTGTTTTTAAGCAAATTGGTCAAAAGAATTAACTGTTTCAGACACTTAATATATTTACTTTTCTTTTGTCTCGCGTCAACCTGCTTAATTAAACAAAACGGCATTTGTTTTCATAATGTCACCATCAAACACGTGTAGTCATAAGAACCTGAATAGAGTTCACGAAGGCTAACCTGACTGAAGTCGTCGACGATCCTATACAGTTTTCAACTGTTAAGAGATTGCTGTATCTTAGTTTCAAGGGAACTTAATTTTGTCGTTGATACTGTATTAGCGCACTATAAGATGGTATAAACAAACCTCGTTAATTAATCTGCTTAGTGAGAAGATAGATGTATTTGATTGCTGCATTTACATGTTAATGTGTCGGCATTGGAGAATACATCGCCTCGAGTGTTTATTTTCGTTTATTCAACCTCAAGCAATAGATCTTAAGAAAAGAGCCTTTGTTTGAGTCAGGAGTTCCATCGCCGACACCATTGTGTTTCGAGGCCGGTGTTAAGTAATTATTTAGCTTTATTTGAAACGGCAATGTCAACATGACCGTACATTTTGTAAACATGTAAACACTTCTTTAGCCAAGATGAATGTCGACCTTGGTAGTGGTTGAAAATGTTTTGGTTTAGTTTCCTTGTTTGTAAACATCGAACATAATGGAAGCCACATTTTGAAAACATGACTCGAGGCAACGGTTTCCTCTGTTCTCACCGCCTTGTATCAATCACTTTCAACAAACACTTCAAATGAAGTTAAATGAACACCTTTGACACTTAAGAATACGATAATGGCTCGACATCTATGTGATAATCGAAGCTTGTTGAATAAAAACTCAAGTGCGACCTTTTTGAGGGAAAGTGTTTATTCTTATACAAATCGTCACCTTGAGAACAAAATTACAAAATGATAATTGACTTAAGTTGATCCTACGACTAACTACACAATGAAAGCCTTGTTAGGACGGTAAAACATATGCGATGCATTTCCTTCCATAGCCAGTTGAACTGGGAGCATAAAATAATATTATTAATAATTATAAATAGCCGTGTTACTGACCGGGTGCTGAAAACATCAATGGCGGGCGATAACATGTTTGTACAGATCGTACCACAAACAGAGACTTAATTATACCTGTATCTATGTTTTACGGACTGAGTGTGGACAATATATCGTCTTGAATGTTCTCTTTTAAGTTTAAGAGTAAAGCTCTGCAATTTACTAGTCTATTCACGCATATTCAGTATAATTACATGGTTTATATGTACACTTAAGAAACTTATGAGTGCTTCAGTTTTTCCAGCCAGAGAAATGACCACCTCAGTGATATTTTATCATAGACGTCACTTCTCCGGCGATGTTTTCTTGAAGTACTTGATTGTTTGTTCTACAAGTAACGCAGACTTAGCTCTTGTAAATGTCTCCATTCAAGATCAGAAATAGCCTATGACATCAGTCTTTTCAAGTGAAAACATAGATGAAACGGTCTAATTTTTTTACGAATTCGCCTATTAATGACCCTATGATTCTAGTGCGCTTTGTCCGCAACGACTTTCTATAATTCAGCCAGTCGTATTTGCTAGCTACTTTACTTTTTTGTGTCAAGACTATCTTTTATTTTCGAAAAATATCAAGTTCTAAACGTAAGCGTGCAATTGTTGTATTCACAAGTAAAGGCACTAACGTGGAGATGTTCTAAGCGTAATTGAGGCCTATTGTATTTTCTGACTGCGAGACCTGAGACATATACAAGTACGGATGAAACGTAGATGACTGAAAGTGTGAGCTGTAATTCCTGAAAGCGGGGTTATCCTGCCAGAAGAGTCCGTACGGTGGGGGAGGGGAAGAGAAGCCATGGAACTGATTCAGAGGGAAACGAGCGGTGTCCGCTTCTCTTGAGTAGAAGTCATACCTTGACGACGCAGGGATTAATGGAGTCCTGTTTGGTGTTACTCCAAATGGGTGCGAGAAAGGCTCACTTGAAGGGTGCGGCTTAGGGAGGTCCAAACTTGCAGACGGTTTGTGATGCGGGTAAGGAAATAGACTTGCAGTTAGAGGTAAACCAAGCACACCTCGATCTGTAGTGCATCCTAGAGCATGGCTGCATCTGGGTCTGCGAGGTTTCCTCGGTCTTCGATAATTCCCTTTGGCGAACTCAGGTAAGTCTTTTGGGTGAATCATCCAATAGTGCCCCTTTCCATTCTCCGCTCTGCTCGCCTTCACGAAGCAGTCGTTACTGGACAGGTTATGTCGCACACTATTCCGCCAGCCTGGTCCTTTCTCTTTGTCAAAGTGCGGAAATGTTTTGGCGATGAAACTGTAAATGGAGCTCAAGGTCATGCGCTTGGATGGCACACTCAAAATCCCTTGAGCGATAACGGCCACAAACGTCTCGGTGAGATTTCGAGCTTCTTTGGACTCTGTCCCTTCGTCTTCATCTTCATCTGTACTGCTTCTTCTTGGCTTTTTGCTTTCTGTGACTTTTTCTTTCACAGACTGATCTAGCTTCAGGTCTTTGGGCATCGTTCTATGAAGTACTTTTGTCTGCGGTTCAAGTTGTGAACGCGGCAACTGACATAAATCGTTCTCGTCTCCAATGAACGGGAACCGAAACGCGCTTGTGTCGAGACCGTTAGCTTCTTGGCGACTGGAGTGAACAGCAAACATGCTAAGAAGACTGAGACTTTACGCTGATACCTTGTTTAGCGAAAAAATCTGATTGAGAACACAACTCGTGGGACTGTTGTTAACAAATTGTGAGCTATCTACGTGCCGAAGGCTATACGGGTCGACCTCCTTTCTTATTAGGTTGTGCCGCATTGATGGTCTTAGCAGGGGGTTAGGAAACACCAAGCGGACAGATGCGTTGCTAATTTGTATATGAAATAGCCTTCGTAAATATAGCTTCATACCTTGCGGCGTTGAAGTTTGTCCGAAAAATATTTCGTCGACTTTATTCAATTCTCAGCGCAGAGTTGTATGAAATATCGCTGCGTTGTGCACCTCAGGAAACTAATTGGCAGCCTGCTGATCCGGATTAATTTATTAAAGCAAGCGAGGAGTTATTAAGAAGTGTTTATGATACACTGACAGCTGGGTTATACGCCACGGGCGATAATCACTATCACACCAGATCATCGATTATCAAACCAGATCATCGCTTATCGACTACAGTTGCCAGAACAGGCGTAAAGGAGATAAGAATGTTTATGCTCACTTTTATTAATTGCAATCTTAAGTAAATAGGTCAAAAACAAGAAATTTAAGCCCTTATATTTGTTTTAACACGGAAAAAACTAACACGTCGGAGACTTCGGCGAAGACAACAGGAACTTAGTGGGAGGAGTGGGATGATTTCGTCACAATGACTGTTGTGATTCTTAACAAAGAGTTATGTTTCAAGAATCTTCCAAACTTCACTATCGGGAGCTCCGGGAAACAGGATATTTAAGGGAAAAGGTAATGGGATACGGGACATTTAGAATAGATATCCCGGGATATAAAGTAGGAGAATTGTTAACATTTGGAAGATTAAATTAACGCAGGGGATACGGGTTATTTTGGCTAAAGGGATGCTCGTAACCCCCCTGCCCCCTCCTTAATAGAAGCCCTTCAGTGATTTCCTCGGTTCACCTAGTAAGCGACCTTACTGTGTTAGGAACACTACCAAATAAAAACAGCTCGTTACAAACGGAGGCAAAACTTTAAAAAAACAGCAGTTTTCGACGCACCTTCTCATATTTCTGAAGACTTTTTACGCAACGAACGTTTTTTTTTTTCTGATTCCTATGCTCCAATAACATAAACCGTAGACTTGTTTTACTATGAGATTAGAAGGTTTGGTAGTACGTCAAGAAAGACAACTAGCTGATGATTTCCTTTTTTCTCATTACCTACTTGCATCATTTTGTGTAAACATTGTAAGAAGATTCTGTATGCTTATCATACTTTGGATATAGATGTTTGAACACCGCCTTGGTGTCACCACTTCCAAACAAGCATTTGAATCAGTACAGCAGTTTAAAGATCAGTATAATTTCGGCATCGTATCATTTGAACGACAGTACTGTTTAACTAGTTAACGTATTAATAATTACTTGTAATGGCTTTCAAATTCCTATAGTTGATATACTTCAGTTATCATCAATGCACCCTATAAATAACTTGTTGAAAAAGTTCCCACGAGAATTTCAACTTAGCCGTGAAGTTTATCAACTTGTAAACAAACTATGTGTCAATGACAATTGACGGTTAATTGAGGTGTTTAGAAAGACTGGAAAGTGTAGATCAACTTACCATTTGTACATGAACAATTTACCAAGTTATTTTGTCATGGTATTCGTTGCAGCCATCGTTTCCGTAGTTTTCAAAAAAGATCTTGAAGTTACGAACCATTGCCATTATTCCCGGAAAATCACTTTACCATGACGCCACATTGCAATTGTCTCAACTGCACTTAATTGAAATAATAAATTAATGCAATGAAGGACCTAACTCTGAAAACTTTATTGCTTAATGACACTGCGTTTGATCCATATTCTGATGCAGGAAGTCGTTAAGAGATTAAAAATTTCCAACAAAAAAACATAGCCTAGGGGAAGGAAGAACAGTTAGCAGTCGCGAGAAAATGCTGGAGATTTCAGTGACAATAATTAGCCCCCGTAAAAGTAAACATTAAGAGCTGACGATATTGTATGATCGATCAGGAGATGAGTGAGTCACTCACGCGTAGCACTTGTCCAGGCCTGAAACATTCGGAGATTAGGAGTCCCCCTTAGGGGAGAGGGACCTAGAGTGGGGGGGGGGGGGGGGGGGGGGCTCGGGGGTATTCGGTCAGACTCTCTAAATTAAAACACCTAACATCACAAAACTTGTAAAGATATTGATAAATGCATTCAATCCTTAATGGAATGAAACTACAATATTTTCTGACACGCTAACCTAACCTCAGAATGCTGAAACCCAATTTCCGAGGGCCTCAATTTTAAAAAATTTGGGGTGGGATGCCCCATTCCCACCTACAGGGGACCACCTTCGGCGGTCCGAATCTCGAACGTACACCCTTCTACAAAATCCTGTATCCGCCCCAAGTAACTTGTACCGTGTCTAGCCCAGTTAAGGACACTTCACCAGCATGACCTCGTTGGACAGAGTTGATCCGGAATGTAACGTGCGTCTCGACCCACTTGTAATGATGGGGCGAGTACAGTAACATGAAATAGAGGCATGTAGGATCTTGCAAGCCTAGCACTGTCATGCCAATGGTTCACTCGTGCCCTTCTTTCAACGAAAATTATTTTCAAATACTGTACGTTTTGCTCACCAGTCAGGTTGCCAAAGAATGCACAAGTCAACGCTATCACGCCATACAAAAAAGCTGCTTTCCCAGCTGGCAGGTAATACTGCTTTTCAATAACCTTTGGTGTGAATCCACCTGCCGCTGAGAGGTAAAAGTGCTCCAAGCAGACACCCAATGTAATGAAGACAAATGGAAGGTGTGAAAACAATTCTTTTGTTGCCTTGGGAAGATCTTTGAGCTTGGCGTAGCCAGCGGTTTCGTTTCCTTCTTCTGCTTCTTCTTCATCGGGCTACGAAAAAAAAAAACCAGGGATTTCAGATTTAAACCTTTGATCCCTAAAAGGAGACAGTGGTGGCGTTTTCTAAACAGAAAAAGTCCATCACTGAAACTATTGTTGTCACTTTGCGTTTTTACTGGCGTCGACTCCATCTCGGTCCAGAAACACGCAAAGAAAGAACTTGGCACATATCCAGTTACCTTGACCTGAGGCCTGGTCAATAACGCATTTATACCATTGGCTTAAAAAAACACTCGCGCCACTTCATCCATGTCCAATCGGAAGAAAAACCGAAGCCAATCGCGGCTTGTTCGCACACGTTTTCCTGCGCTTCGCGTCAGCAACATGCATTTACTGCGAGATTTTGATTGGTTTATTGGATTGTCTGTGCGTGACTGGCTAGAGTGTGTAGAGTGCTCGCGTCAAAAATTGCAGTCTTTAAGTGACAAGACAATTATATTAATGTAGACGGCGTCAAAATAAACCAAACAAAGCATAGCAGAGCTCTTGGGCTGAACATAGATGAAAACCTATCCTAGAAGGAACACATACACGCAATTTCGAAAAAAGTCGCTTCCAGTATCGGTGCACTTAAGCGAGTCAGATCTTTTATTTCCATGCACACTGCTATTAAAATATACAGAGGTCTTATCGAACCCCATTTTGATTACTGCAGTGTTGTTTGGGATGGCTTGTCTCGACAGCTGAGTGAGAAACTTCAAAAACTACAAAATCATGCTGCCAGAGTGATTACTAAATCTATTAAGTTATGACACGAACTCTTGCTATCTTCTCAACTCGCTCAGCTGGGACAACTTATCAGTTAGAAGGGCGAGGTAAAAGGCAAATTTAATGTACAAATGCGTTAATAAGCTCGTTTATCTTTGCAACATGTTCACTCCGAAAACTTTGTCCATTGATCTTGGCGACGCCACACAAAAATTATACCTGGAATCAAGAACTGACTACCTGAAGCGTAGCTTCAGTTACAGCGGAGCTTCTCTATGGAACGATCTTCCCGAGGAGCTCTGCACTACAAAATCTCTAGACATCTTCAAGCGAAGCATTAGTAAATGGCTCTCTACTCCCACACGGCCAATATGTAAACCAGTAAATAGAAAATGTTACATTTTACATTGAAAAAGCTCAATCCGTTTTAAGGCTGTTTTTCATTAGCGACGGAGTCGGAGTCGGAGTCGAAGTCGTAACAGAGCTAACGACCTTGTGAAAATCGAAAATCGGAGTCGCAGGCGGAGTCATAAGCTCGACGGAATCGGAGTAGGAAGAATCAGAACGTTTCCATTTCTTTCGATTCCGTTCACAACTCCGTCGCTTATGATCCGGTGAAAACTGGATTGTCGCACTCGGAAGCAGAAGCGGAAGAACCAACCAATCACAAGGCCCGGAATCTACCACTGTCATTGGTTTATTCTTCCGCTTCTGCTTCCGACTCCGACAATGTAGTTTTCACTAGATCGTAGGCAATCTAGTTTTCACTAGATCGTAAGCGACGGAGTCATGAGCGGAATGGGTGTTCAGCTTCTGAATCCGTCGGTTTGATTTTAACTAGATCGTATCGCTCTACTCCTCTGATTACTGCTCTAAGTTTTGATTACAAACTGAAAATAAAAGATTATGAGGAACTGAAGATGGCGTTTAATTTGGTCATGCATTTTACTTGTCTGTTAGACTACAAAACTCTCTCTAGTTCTGAGAAAAATGAAAAATCATACTACTTTTAGTTTACTTGTCCTCGCTGTATTCATCTTTCATGTAAGATAAATATTGAAAATTCGACTAAATTAGTAATTCTTACTAGTAAATTAACCTACCAGTTTTGCTGTGGTTAGAGATTCACATAGTTCTATTTCGCACTGTTTCTTGGTCGAAGGAATGTGCTTTGGGAATCCTAACAGCCAAATACTCCAAAACACACAGATCGCACCAAATATGGCAAACCCTAGCCACCAGTTTCCAACCCAACGTGTATCGCGGATTGTCAACGAGGTCTGGACACCAAGTTCCACAAACATTGAAAGAAAGCTTGAGACACATACGAATCCAACAACGGCACCTGAAACAATAACAAGGAAAAAAATCATCTGACTTATGCAGAACCTTAACAAGACGGTTCATATAGCGGTTAATTTAGTCAAGCCTAAAAGCGGAGCCCCTAATTACAATAAATCAACCTGTCTTAAGCCTGTGATCCAATCGAAAACCAGCACCTGATCAACGGTCGATTTAAAAAGAACACGTGACCTCCATGAGGTCTAAGGTTGAGCCCGCGATATGGTCACGTAATTTGGTTAGTGGATATCTTGTTATGATAGGTGTCAATTAACCATAACATGGATGTCCAATATTAAAGATGAACGCTACCAGCTGGAGTATGGCCACCATGTTGAGTGTCGTCGTCGTTTTTCGTCGTTGTAGAGCGCACGCACCCGCGATTTATGCCGCTAGCCATGGCGACCATGAAAAAAGAGTTGTAAGGTTTTCTTTTTCTATGCATGTATATGGTCTTGGTCCTATAGTTATGCTCCGCTTGGCGGCCCCTCAGAGCACCGGAGCTCCACTAAAATAGACCCAAAAGTCTCATGAGGTACACAAAAACGTGGGTTAAATTCGCTTTTATTCAAAAGCTAAAACTCTAAAATGTACAGCACGTTCGAAGGGCATCGTCTCTGACCTTACTGCAATGAATACGTCATATTAAACTATTGCTATGGCTCTTGGTCAATAAACGGCGAAATTGTAGTCATTGTAAAATTGGTAATGAAGACTCCTAGATTACAAAGAGAGGATCATTATGTGTCAACCATCACCTCGACAACTTAACTCACCTAAAATTCCACAGGCTACGAATATACCAACGTACATAGGTGACACCTTGGCGCTGACGTTTTCGTCCATATATGGAACTCCCAAAGCGATCATCGGGGTGCAACCGGCGCCTGTTACAACCATTCCCAGAAGGAACAGCGCGTAGTAAAGAGTATTTCCAGTGGCGGCGTCTTCTTTGCAATCACTTTTCCCGCCAAAATCAGTGCGATTTGCCGCGCAAAGTCCCGGGTCAGTCAAACTTAGTGTGCTATTCGTGATAACTCCTAATAGCGGAGCTCCGGCGGAGCCCCATACCCATATAGGGAAGAAAAGGAAACCCATGAATTGATTTTCTCGTGGTTATCATGGCTAGCGGTATTGCTC